GAATTTGTCCCAGAGATACAAGGATGGTTCAATGTATGTAAATTAGTAAACACAATACGTAACATTGACAGAATGAAGAATAAAAATCCTAAGATCATCTCAGTAGATGCACAATAAAAACGTTTGATAAAATTCAACATCCTTCATAAAACTCTGAGCAAATTAGATATAAAGTGATCACATCTCAACACAATAAAAGCTATGTATGACAAACACAAAGTCAACATCTAAGATTAGGAAAAAGGATGTCCATCCTCACTACTAGTATTTAATATAGTAATAGAACTTTCAACCAGAGCAATCAGGTAGGGCATAGAAGTAAAAGACATAACTAGGAAGGGAGAAAGTCAAATTATCCCTGTCTGCAATGATATGATTCTGTAGCTGGAAAATCTAAAGTTTCCACCAAAAGATTATTAGAACTGATAAATTCTGTAAAGTAGAATGATATAAAATCAGCATATAAAAATCATCCGTTTTCTATACCCCAATAACAAATTTACTAGAAGAAATCATGGACTCCCGGCCTCGTCGTTCCCCGGAAGGAGGGCTTCTGGCGCACAAAGAGCCACAGGTGGGGAGCGCCAGTCTTCCAGCTGGCTAGCTTCCTGCCTGGTGGCTCCCGGAGGGTGGGCCCCCAGCGCATGGGGAGCCATGCGGCGGCGAGCGCTGTTGCGCGCCAGCCCTTAGGCCGGCCGCCGCCGCTCAATTGAGATCTATCATGACACAGGAAACAGTGACACAATTGGCCCACCATGCACCGACTGCAGTTGCCCACCCACGGATGTGTGTGAATCATTGAAACTTTGAACAACCCCTGGGAATACATGCCATACAACGGGCCACTCTTGCTCCTGCCATTGGGAACCAGAAAGGTCCAGAGCCAGCGGAGGAGCAGCTGCTGAACAAGGACTCAGAGAACATGAGAATGCAGACTAAGCCCACAGAGTCAGAGGTCCAGTGGACTGGGGTCACGAGAGCCGCTCGCAAGCTGTAAACTAGGAGGACCTTGCACAATACCTGCAGAGACTACCTGGAAGCCATTCTTCCCCTGACAGTATAGGCTGTGGTGGAGCTCGGGAGAAGTCTGCAGCAGGATTCCTGCTGCCTGTGCTGACAATTGGGGAGAGGACACTAACTGGTTGTGGGGTCCCAAAGCAATGGGAAGCTGGAGAGAAAAAGCTACAAAGAATGGCTTTCACCTCAGATAGCTCACTTGAGATGTTAGTAAGAACTGCCTTCTCCATATTCTATAGCCATGATGAGGAGGAGGCCAAGGAGAGAAAACAAAGAGACTGAGAAAAAGCAGCTGCTTTTGCTGCACCACTAAGAGAAACAGATCCCAGGTCTGATTCCCGGGGCTCCAAGAAGAACTCGACAACTGCATTCATCTGCTACCACTGTTGAAAGCCAGGCCACCTCAAGAGGAACTGCCCTAAGAGGCCCCATGGGCCATGCCCTGGATGCAAAGGAGACCACTGGAGATCGGTCTGCCCTCTGAGGTGGAGGCCCCAGAGCTCAGACCCATGCTACCAGTTAGTCCAACAGGAATGAGAGAGCTTGGGGCATGGTCTGCCTTCTCCCTCTGGCCAGACTGTCATCTCCAGCGAGGAGTCCTGGGTAATCATGACTATGGAGGAACAAGAAAACAGCCTGTTGCTAGACACAGGTGCAAGTCTCTCGGTCCTTCTTTTCAATCCTGGCCTTCCTTCCAGCCATCATACCTCAGTGAAAGGAGTCACTGGTGAGGAGGTAATATGCTATTTTTGACAACCCTTAGGCTGTAACTACTTATTAGATCCTTCTTGCATATCTCTGTCTTCCTGAGAAACCACTTTGAAGATACCACCATGTATTACAGCAGCCATTGATATTTTCCTACTAATCTATCCATAACTGTGTAAAGTTTGTAATGTTCCTATCCTATTTCATAAATGGATGTATGTTTATTATTATGTGTTTCCTACAACAACCATTGAGAATAGTTAATGATTTTTCAATAGGTCACTCATGTATAGCTCTATTTATTTTCTTTAGAAGCCACTTTGAAGATACCAAAGTATAGCACAACAATCTTGATAATCTCCTACCTCTTTTGTCTCTAACGCACTATTATTTGTCTATTTGTTTTCCTGAGAAACTATTTTGTAGATAATAATATGTAAAACGATAACCATTGATAATTTCCTACCATTTTGTCTGTAATATGCTAAGTCCCCCCATTATTATGTTATCCTTGTTTTACTCTTTAAAATAAAAAAAAAAGAAGAAATCATGAAAGCAACTCCATTCATAAAAGCTACAACAAACAAAAAACAACCTAGGAATAACGCTGTACATCTACTTTTAATTAACCATAAAAAAGAACTTGCAGCAAAATGGACAGAACTGAAGGATAATATGTTAAGTAAAATAAACCAGACACAGCAAGTGAAACCATGGAATCAAGGATGTGAAAGAGCTCTACAATGAAAATTATGAAAGAAACCGTGTAAGATACACCAAAAATTTAGAAAGACTGTTCACATTTATGGTTTAAAAGAACTAATATTATTAAAATGTCCATACTATCCAAAGTGATACACAGATTCAATGCAGTCCCCATCAAAATACCAACGATATTCTTCACAGAACCAGAAAATTTTAAAGTTCATATAGAAGCACAAAGACCATGAATAGCCAAAGAAATCTTGAACAAAAAGGAAAAGCTGGAGGCATCACAATACCTGACTTCAAGACATACTCCACAGCCACAGTAATCAAAACAACATGGTATTGGTGTAAAAACAGACTGACCATGGAACAGAATAGAGATCCCAGAAATAAACTCATGCACCCATGGTTGCCTAATTCTTGATAAATGCACCAAAAACTTATATCCAAGCAAAGACAGTCCTTTAATAAATGGTGTTGGGGAAACTGGATATTCGCATGCAGATAAAACATGACCCCTATCTCTCAACCACTTCAAAAATGAACTCAAAATAGATCAAAGACTGAAATATGAGACCTGAAAATCTGAAACTACTGAACATGGAAGAAACACTTCAAGACATTAATACATACAGTGATTTTTCTGAACAGAACCCTAAAAGCATAGGACAAAAGAGCAAAAATTGACAAATGCGACTATATCAAACTAAAAACCTACTTCACAGCAAGGGAAGGAATCAACAGAGTGAAGAAACAACCTATAGGATGGGAGAAAATATCTGCCAAGTATTCATCTGACAGACTGTTAATACCCAGAATATACAAGGAACTCAAAAAACTCAACAAAAAACCCCATTTAGTCCAGACAGGTGCTGTACCTAAGTGGTAGAGCATATGCCTAGTATGTTTGAGACTTTGGATTCAATCCCCAATACCATCACCACCAAAACAACAACAATAACAGCAACAAAACAACACACACATACAAATCCAATTTTAAAATAGGCAAGTGGTCTGAACAGATGCTTCTCCAAAGAAGCAAACACTAATGACCAGGTATTATGAAAAAAACCGAAACAAAAGACTAATGCTTGCCAAGATATAGAAAAAAAAAGCTCTTATACATTGCTGGTAGGAATGCAAATGAGTACAGCCACTATGGAGAACAGTATGGAGGTCCCTCAAAAAAACTAAAAATAGATGTAGTAAATGTTCCAGCTACTCCACTTCTGGATCATTATCTAAAGACAATGGAATCAGCACATCAAAGAGGTAGCGATATGCCCATGTTTATAGTGGTATTATACACCAGAGCTAAGATACAGAATCAGCCTAGGTGCCCAGCAATGAATAAAGTATATATGGAAAAAAACATGAAGAAGAATAAAATCCTGTAATTTGCAGCAAAATACTTGAAACTAGAGGATATTATGTTAAATGAAATAAGCTAGACATAGCAAGGTAGGTACTACATGCTCTCTTTCATATATGGAAGCTAAAAAAAATGTTGACCTGAAAGTAGTATAGAAAGGGTAGGGGGCTTGGGCTGAAAAAAAAAAATAGTTCTATTTGATCAGTACATACCACTATATTCCACTAATATGAAAATTAATACATGTTAATAAAAATAAATATAAAAGATTCTACCATTAAAAATTTTAAAAGAAATAAGAAATCAACACTGCAAATGAAGACCACAATTATCACTTTAAAATTAGGTTGGCAAATATTAAGAAATGTACAAACCAATGAAAGGATACATCAATGAAAACTCTAGTGATATGTTAGTAAAAGTGTTTTTGGAAAACAATTTAACATTCCATGAAACTGAACATACTGTGTGACCCACTGCCACATTTATAAACTCATTATACCTCTGCTTTAAAAGATAGGACAAGAAATGTTCTTGGAGGCAAGATCTGCATTACTAAGACTTGGAATAAACCTGAATGTCTGACTATTGAAGAATGGATACCAGTGGTGTGTTCCTACAAAATTCTATACAGCAGTGCAAATGAATTAACTACAGCTATAAACAACATGAATAGAAATAAAAAAGCAAATTCTAGATAAGCATTCAAAACACCATTTTTAAAAAGCTGAAAAACCAACACAAATATAATACATCATTTTTTTAAAAGTAAACAACAATCTCTTTTTTTTTTTGGTTTTTCTCTGGTACCGGGAACCGAACTCACGACCTTGCGCTTGCCAGGCAGGCGCTTTTGCCGCTGAGCTAAATCCCCAGCCCGTAAACAACAATCTCTGTCATAGTCACAGGAGGCAAAGATGACTGGAGCTTAAGATAAGTGAGGAAATCTAAGTGGATGCCTGTTAGATAATGGTAGAGTTCTTGGGTTGATTAGGGGAAGGTGGTATCATGAGTATTCCTTAATATGCTTTATAACTCTATACCTTAAGTAAATATATGTGTATGGATACATGCATATATTTCTCCATTCTATGCTATATATGAACTATCACATTTAAAAATGGAAAAAATATGACTAAAATACGCTAGTCGATATCCACTGCAATGAGTACTAAGTCCCCAGCCTAACACTTACTGGTCAAGGGTCTTATAATAAATGTCCAGATCCTTGTTCACAAGCTCCGTTGTTCTCATAACAATCATCATTTCTCTGTATTTCTCTTCAGCATCCCGAAATTGAGGTTCTCGGAGTTCTTTCTTAAAACGAATAATTTCTTCCTCATACCCTCTCTGTCGTCCCAATGCCAAATCGCGATTTCTTTTTATATCATCTATGTTCACTTTTATCTTCTGATGTTCACTGCAAAGGGGGGAAATGACAGATGAGGACCACTGTTTAGCTTTATCAACCCAAACTGGAAAAGTCACAGATCTCTTCAGACAGTTGGCATTCTCCCCACCAATCAGTATATGATAATAAGAGTCTTTCCTTGCTTTTAAGGCTTTGGTACTAAAGAAAATTCTCTCCTCAATTTCTGCAGCATGTAGGTTTCTCCACAACTAATTTTTATAAGTTAAAGAATCATCATACTCTGTGAGATGTAAGGAAGTTGCTGACTTTAAGATACTGATTAACCTAAGTAAAGCACAGATGGGTAGTAATACTACAAATTCACAAACGTTTATGAACTGAGGGTGCACAGTCACCAACACTGAGGAACTATTGTATAACATATTTTTTTGCTCACAGTATGTAAAAGACAGTATTTTTACTTTATTTGAACTAAATATGAATATCTACAGCAATATTTGTTAAAAATCTGGGCTCTTCTACAAAAATAAAATTTTTCTTGCAAAAGTATAAAAACCATAATGACTAAGAAATAAACACTCCAATTTTCTGATGATTTGGCAGATTACTCAGACTATATGTTTTACAAATCTTCTTTAGCAATCACTTATTAGCATCCTCTTATGTCCTAGACATTGCTCTTAAGTTTATGAACATTCTTATAAAGCTAAGCTGTTATATTCTAGTTAAAGAAAGGTTTGAAAAAGGATAGATACACAGCATTCTGAATGAATGTAAAAAGTATTTTTAAGTACTAAATGCAAAATAGATTTTTAAAATCTGTAATATGGTCTTTAGTAGCAAAGAACAAATTATTTCACTTCAAAAAAAAAAAGAAAGTTTTTTCTGAGAGTTCTACTTCTCCAACTTCCATTATAAAGTTAAAGAGCAGAGACTTGAGAGCGGACGGGAGGCTGAAGTCATTGTCCTTGCTTTCACCCTAATTCCTCTGATTTTCCTAGGTTTCAGGTCCAAATACATAAAAAAATGAAAAGGCTGAAGATGATATGCTCTTCTAGTCACCAAGTCTGATTTCCTTTATATATGGGGAATTTTAAAAAACTAAACCAACATTACAATAATACAGATTAATCATTTCTCTGGTTTTACATGTCAAATTAAAACTTCACTTTTAGTGTATCTTCAAGAAAATCCTAGGCACTTTTTGACATAGATTTCTGTATAAATTCAAGGAGACCAATAAAAAATTCAGAAGGAAACACTGGACGAGATGTGGACTGAACCAGGTGAAGTGGTTTAACATCTAAGTACAACCTTTTATTCTAGCCAAGAGACTTAGCATCAACTAGCTTCTCACAGAATTCCGAAGGCAACTAAGAAAGACAGTAACAAAATTTTTTCTGCTGTCCCAAGAAGGTAGGAACTACAGCAAATACCAGTAAAACCAGATGAAGGAATAATCTGGCTAATCTTTACCTCCCCCCACCAAAAAAAAAAAAAAAAAAAAAGAGGAAAAAAAGCTTTGGCAGGTACAAAATCACAACTGGGACAATCCAGAGTGAGTCTCCACTGGCAAACTGCCCCAGCAATCACTCTACTGGCAATAGCAAACAGTGTGTAAGCTCTGACACAGGATAGGTTCATGGTTATATATTCTGTGATCAGTACCATTATTCAGCAAGCGAAAAGTCTGGCGACTTGGCATATTTAATATTGAGTAAACGCTGGGCATGGTGATTACAAGCCTGTAATCACAGTCCTTGGGAGGCTGAGACAGGAGGATCATTATGAGTTCAAGGCCAGCCTAAACGAGACAGTAAGACCCTGTCTCAAACAACAAAAATCCATAATACTGAATAATTACTACCCATCACTCAGGGTGATCATCCATTTAATGTCCCTTCTAGTTGGTCCATAGGTTGTGGATTATTGTTAAACTGATTAATGTCCCTTCTTCAGCAATTCAATTTTTTTTTTTTTTTTTTTTTGGTACCGGGAATCGAACTTAGGACCTTGCACTTGCCAGGAAGGCACCTGTGCCACTGAGCTATATCCCTGGCCAGCAATTCAATTTTTAAGACCATGAAATATATTTCCATATCTGTCCACCTTCATGTAAGTCTCAAGGGATACCAACCTGCAGCCTATTTGATAAAACAGGTATTTGTGTTTTCACATTATAATAAAGATCTTTACTTAAAATAAGAACTTTTCTTAAAAACATACTTTTTCATCTGCAAAACCTGCATTTGACCCATTTCCTTCAAATGTTGTTTTCTCTCTTCTTCAACTTCCTTTAATTCTTCATTTCTTTTTCTTAAGGTAAGGTTATCCTGTAGCCACCTTTCTTGTATCTAAATGTAAATAATATGTCAGTTAACAAAAGTGACCAAGTTACTAATATGAGATCCGTAACAGGCAAGTGCTGACAGGTAGTGCCAATTCTGCCTGACTGAGCATATTAAATTGCACACAGGGAGAATAAAGCAGTGTGAAGCACTCTCCAGGCCTATACTAATGTGGACGGCCTCCTCACAACCAGGTGCAGGTGGGACATCTCCTGATGAGCAGTATTTACTGCCTTTGTAAAAACCACAACTTTGGTACGATGGGTAGGTGAGTGGGGGTTCCTGTAACAATTCACAAATGTGCTGTTGTATACTTATTTACTATTTTACAAAGTTTTAAAGCATTTAGTAAAAGCTCTATAAAGTATGTTCATTATTAAACATTCATGCAAAACAAGTTTAAAATGGTAAAAAAAAAATTTATAAATGTTGTAAATGTCCTCTGTGGCTGAGGAAACCTACTGTACATGCACCTCTGTAGGCAGCTCCTGTGCTTCCGGGCTCTTCTGTGGGGAACTATGCTTATGCTTTTTCCTTATTAGAAATAAGAACCTGTGTCAATGCTTGTTTTGATCTGATGCTATATAACACTTGAATCTGCTTTCATAACTGCATGAAATGAGTCTTTAAAGTGCTACCACATTTTAGGTAAGACCAATTTTTGGCATAAGTATTGTTCCCAGTCTGTTAGTCTACATGATTATCAGAAAGGTAGGTAATTCTTTCTTTTAGGACAGCTTCTATTATGTTTAGTTTTGAGCACAGTAGTTAAAAAGCATAGGTTTTAAAGTCAAGTATACCTATGTTCAAATCTCAATGCTGTAATTTTTAAACAGGGTGACATTAGACAAATTAGCTAAGATGTTCTGAGCCTCAGCATATGACACATAATAATACCAGCTATCATAAAGAACTGCAATAAGGATTAAAGTTAATGTACATAATTAATACAGTGCATGGCTCAATAATTGGCAAGAAAATGCCTTCAGGATTAATTTTTCCTCTGTCAATAGGTCATATAATACATTCCTTTTCAATCAGTGATGGACTGCCTATACAGCAGTCGTCCCACAAGATTTTATCTCCTCATGATGCTGTGGCCATCTTATCTGTGCAAGTTCACTCTGATGTTCACACCATAATGAAACTGCCTTATAACTCATTTCTCAGAACATATCCTTATTGTTGAGCAATGCCTGACTATCTACATATATCCAGATGTATTCTTAACAAAATAGGGACAGAATACTCATGAAAATTAAAGTCCTCAGCATGTGGTCAGACCTGGTATTCATAGCTACCTTTCTGCACTGCCCGCTCTGTACTCCATCCGCATTCAGCAAGCACCTCAGCTAGTCGTAATTCTCTATCTGACATGGTCATTCAAACCTTCATTTTTGAAGGGTTTGGGTCATTTGTAATGTTGCCTGGATTGGACTATTCTAGTTTCCCATTTCACCTTCAACACTCGGCATGGTGATAGTAAGAGACACACTAACGATTCTCTTGTATTCCAGATATACTCTTCTTTAGGCCTCTTGTGAAAGAGTCCAATTTTCCCTTGGTAGTCTGAATCAATCACCCTGGCCAATACTCTCCTGTAACTCCTGTTTGTTGAGTAAGAGACATAAGGAGCTCAAGGTAGCTGGGTGTTCACCTTAACCTCCAGTTCAATGGGAATCATTGTTTTGTCTCCTGGTGGCAGCATTTCTCTTTCTGCAACTAAGACTGGTAAGCGAGCAGAGCATAAACTCATGGGAAGTGAAGCAAAAATGTTGCTTGTGGGTTAACAGGGTTTAATGGTAAGTGGTGCACTTACATTTCCACTCCTTGATTCCGGGACCCATGAATCCCGGCTAAAATGAATACCGTGATATATACGGGTCATTGATTCAGAGTGTATAAAGCCTTCTGGGAGACCTTGCCCCAGCCTTGCAAAGTGCTAGTTGGCACTGTAAATGTGACTTTAAAAAGTCATTTCACTGTTCTGTTAAGGCAACTGCTTCAGGATAATGGTGAACATGCTAAATATAGCTTCTCAAAGTGATTTTAATTATTTTGTAGAAAATAATTTCCTTCATAGAAAACCTGTAAATGACTTAATGTTACAAATATTTTTCTCACCTGTAGCTTTTAAGAATATCTTAGACCTCAATCCCTCTTCTGTGAATTTATTCTACATAAAGATATGTGAGAATAAGAAAACGCTAACAGATGTAGCAGGATTTTCAGTGCCATGTAATCCACATGGGGAAAAAATAATCAACCTAAGTTTTATAATCATTGAAAAGAATAAAATATCTGTGAGTTGACATGTATGATTACATTTTATTCAATGGAAAGTGGTACAGAATAATATAAATGGTGTGATCTTGTCTGTAAATTTAAATATTATGCACTCATACAAATCTAAACTTATCTATCTGTTGACATATAAATAAAACCTTATTTGAGAACAAATAAGACATTCAGCACTTAAATAGGCTGAGGCAGGAGGATAGCAAGAGTCTAGCTCGTGCATTTTAAGTTTTGGGGAACTTTTTTTTTGGTTTAGAATTTTCTGAGACAGGGTCTCACCATGTAGTCCAGGTTGGTCTCAAACTTGCAGCGATCTTATTTCAGGCTCCCAAGTGCTGGGATAACAGGTGTGCGCCACCACATCGAGCTTACCCTGCTCACCTCAGGAGACCATGTCTCAAAGTAAAAAATAAAAAAAATGGGCAAGGGATTCAGCTCAGCACACACAGGTTAGATTCTCAGGACTGCAAATAAAACCAAACCAAACCACCAAAACAAAACCAAAAGAAAAACTGCAACAGAAATGACATCCAGAAGTGAGATTGGGTATTAGAAGGAAAGGGATAGTTTTAATTTTATGCCTTTAAGCTTTTACTACATAGGCTTTTTATTGAAAATAAAAAATGAAAAAAATGTTATTAGAATTGCTTTACTTTGTTTGCTCTTCTATTCAGTGGATCTTCTATTACAATAAAGGTCAATACAGAAAAGTATGTTACAGGTTTACATGATACCATGAACAAAAAAGACCTACCTTCTGTGTATCAATATCTTGTCTCATGACTCCCATTTCTTTATTTATCTTTTCTTTCTGTTTGTCACATTCATTTAGTTGAACTATTACTGTATTAAGTTCAGTTTCTTTTTGCTACAAAGAAAGAAAATTCTTGAACCACTTGAAATAAAAAAATAACTAAATAAATGATTTTAAGTTCTAAATTACCTTCTTATAGTCATCTTTTCCATCTTGAACATAATTCTCAATGTCTTTCATATGCCCATGAATATTTTTAACCTTCTCTTTGAGATCATTCAGCTGTGGAAAAATATTTATTAAACTTACATTGGTTGGGACGAGGATATTTAACAGGAGAATATAAAGAAACACTGAGTTGAAAGTTAGGATATCTTGGGTTCTAGTTTCTGCCCCTACCAAATACAATCTCAGGTAAATTCCTTTAACACCAATGAGAATGAATTAAGTAGTCTTGATTCCTAACTTCTATTTTAAATCATACAGTAAAATATTTTAAGTTTGATTCTTATTTAATCCAAGAACTTCTCATGTCAGAATTACTTCTGAGGGCTGAAAATGTAGCTTAGCAGCAGGATGCTTGCTTAGCATGCGCACAAGGCTCTGAATCAATCCCCATCACCACCAAAAAGAAAAAAAAGAATTACATCATGAATCTGAAAAATAGTATTTATCTTAAACTATTTAATTTCATTTGAAATAATAGTACTATAATTTTAACATAGAGATTTGAAAAATAACAAATGAAACCTTACTTTATCCTGTGCTATTTTGTTGTTTGCATGCTTTTTGTTGGTTAATTCTTCTTTTTCCTGTTGGAACCTTTCCAATGTTGTTTCCAAAGGGTTTATTTGCTCTTTAGCATCCTAAAAATATAAGAACACATAACATCTTATGTAATATCTCATTTATCTTTTTCTGTTTGTTTTTTGAGACAGGTCTTGCTATGTAGTCCAGGTTGGCCTTGACCTCACTATATAGTCTAGGCTGGCCTTGAACTTGCAGCAATCCCTTTGCCTCAGCCTCCTGAGGTGTGCACTGCCATGCCCAGCTCCTGTTATCTTATTTTAGATGACAGGCTTCAGTCTTAATAACAAAAGCAGGGCCAGGGATATAGCTTGGTGGCACAAAGCCTGCCTGGCAAGTGTGAGGTCATGAGTTCGCTTCCTGGTACAAAAAAAGAACAAAAGCATTTTCTATGTGCTACACTTAAAGTCAACTCATTTGTTCATTTCCTCCACCCTGAGAGGAAGTGTTGCAGTCAGGATTTACAAACAATACAGGACACATAATTTATAGGATCATTTTATAATAGTCACCCAAACAGTTATACACAAAGAGAGTGAAGGAAATCTGCCCATAGGTCAAAAGAATCCAACTGATGGCCTGGATCCCATGGAAAAGTACTGCATGAGCCCAGCTAAAGCCCTACAGCCCATCACAATGCCCCTCACAAGTCCAACTGGAGGCCAAGGGTCCACGACAATGTCCCATGCAAGTCTGTTTCACAGATCTGCATCGGGAAGGCCCAAAGGTTAGTGATGGAAGCTAGAAAGTCTGTGCTAGCCAGATGAAGGATTTGTGCTGTGGGATGTGCACTGCAGCCAGGAAGCAATGCTCAAAGTAGGAAGCGGAGCTCCCCAGAAAGGTACCACAACCATCCTCAGTAACAATGAGGTCCTGAGCTCCTCCAAAGATAAGAACAGCTGAGTCTATATCAGGAAAACCAGTGTGACAAGATTCTCCAGGACACTGCACAGTGCACCATCTTCCCCTCTGGAGGCAGGCAGCGATGTTCAAAGTAAGGTCCAGAGCTCCCCCAAAGTGAACTGTGGCCATTCTCAGTGAGAGTAAGGTCCTGAGCTCCTTTGACAATGAGAACAGTTACGTTCACAGCAGGAAAGTCAGTATGACAAGCTGCTCCATGAGAACCAGCAGCCCCCAATAGCTCCCTAATAGCACCCCTTCTTCTCCAGTTCTTTTCATTTTGTTGGCAGCAATTTTCAGGCGGGCCTCCCATACCAGCACCACTCTGGTTCAGTTCAGCTGGCTGTTACAAGCTGACCACCAGTTGTCAGTCTACCACACGAAGGTACCATAGTTTTCATCCCCATATTTCCGAAGGGTAAATAAGCACAGAGAACGATTTGTCTGGGGGTCATGACAAAAGTAAAGGAAGGAGTCAAGATTTTAACCCATTGAGCTCTAGAGTTCACTCTATTAGCCACTATGCAATACTGCATCAGCCATTGACTTGGTTCTTACTCTAGGCCATGTGCTTCCAATTATATTACCTTGTGGCATCAGACATGAGTTTAATAGGGGTGCCTATGTAAGCTGAGTGATCAAACAATAGGAAAGTTTATCTAACCCAGGATTCTCCTTTACCTAAGAGTATGATGGTAAAAAAAAGATGCTTCTGAACTGAAGTTTAATCTGCTAAGCAGTTGTTTCACAGGAATAAACACACAGTGCTACTCTGATGTTGGTGTGACACCCCTCCCCCTTATTTGGGAAGGAAGGGGGCTTTAGGTAGTAGATTGTTTAGCCTCGTATCCTCTCTACAGTATATCTACATGATAACCACTACTCAATGATCATCATGAACCTTAAGACTCTAAAATAACTACTGCATCTATAAGAGCAGATACAATTATTTAGTATTACTTGAGTGTATGTCGATTTTCTCATACTAGGATGTGATGTGGTGAGGTGAGAGGCCAAATGTCTTCAGCGTCAGAGACCCATCTGAAATCAACCCTGTCTCCTGTTAAGTGTATGAACTTGGGCAACTTATGGGGCATTTGTAAGCTTTTCTTCTATAAAAAGGGGATTTAGTTATCTCTCTCAATAGGATTGCTGAAACACTAAACATTTTAATGCCTAAATGATTTATACACAGTAAAAAATAATACAGATGCAGGATAATCTATTTTATACACTAACAGATATATTTACTATATATCTATTTTATACTAAGATTAATAATTTGCAATCCAAAATTATTTCAATAAAGAATTTACAGGAATTAATGACAAATAAGTTTAGTAATTTATTCAGTACCTAACAGTAGGTACAATTATGAAATACGAGGTCAGGCTGCTGTTTCTAAAACTGTTCATAAATTTAATTCATTAAATCTTACATTTGATTAATCCATATAAAGCTTGGCAAATGCAGTGCAGTACATATGGCAAGTCTACCTGCTCTGCTCTGGTAAGGACTCTGCAACTGTATCTGGAATCACATGGACACAGTGCTATGATGGAGAATGTCTGCCATGGATATAGCATTTGCAGGTAACACAAACTTCCCACAGCAGAAAGAATCCTTATACAGGGGGCTGGGGATTTAGCTCAGCGGCGAAAGCGCCTGCCTGGCAAGTGCAAGGTCGTGAGTTCAGTTCCCGGTACCGGAGAAAAACCAAAAAAAAAAAAAAAAAAAAAAAAAAAAAAAAAAGAAAGAATCCTTATACAAAGTTACCCAACCACCAACTAACCACATGCAATAACATGAAGATCACTACTTAATCAGGTAGCTGATCTTCCTTACCATGGCCAAACTTCTCCTTTCAGGAACATTTACTTATTAGTACAAATTCTGTCACTCAGAAACCACATAAAGAACTACTATCATTTTCATTTGATTCTCACAATAACCACAGTTCTGCCCAGTATACCAATACAGAAGATTTTACGTATTTGAACTAATTTAAAAAACAAACACATACAAATGAGCTTACCTTTATCTCTCTGAGTAGAGACTGAACTTCAGTGGATAATTCCACAGTTTGCTCCTCAAGTTGCTGACGACGCTGCAAATTAGTGGCTATCTGAAGTTTTTCTGATTTAAGTTCATTTGTTGTACCTTTTAGGTGTTGTATCTGTTCCTGCTGGTCCTGCATCAGCTTACGATTCAATTCAATCTTACTAGAAACTGCACAAAAACATCATTGACATAGTAATTACACAAAATACTATTAACATCATATTTCCAATTTTTATAGATCTATGGAATCCAAAAAGGCTGAATTTCTTTTGAATCCTACCAACTGTAACAAAACTGTAACAAGAACTCTACCCTTTAAACCTGCTTTCTGTCCCCTCCTGGCCACTCACAGGTAAAGCGCATGTGATACTCTTCCACCACCCCAAATTTGTTGTGCAAAGCAAGGAAAAAATAAAAGAGAAGTGACACTTTTGAGAAAAGAGAACGAATATTCTATGGCTGCAAGGAAGAAAGTTTTCTAATCCATGTAACAGGTATAAATTTACTATAAAAAGTTACTGGCAATAAGGAAGTCTTTAAGGGTACAATGAAGAATAGATCACATTACCTGTATCTAATTTGTGTTGTTTTCGTTGTTTTTCTTGGTTTACTTGTTGAATAGTTCGATCCAAATCTATTCCTTGTAACTTAGCTGCTTGTTGTGCAATTTTTCTTTCAACATCTTTAAGCTCCATCTTAACAACAGAATAGTTACTTCCTCTGAGGGACTTACTGCACAATAGTAACTCAGGAGTTTTTAGCCAAAATTAAATAGAATGAAAGTAAAATTAATTTTTAGTAATTCAAATGAGAGTTAGGGTTAGAAGCAGAGATAAAGGGCAGGAAGGGGCAGTAAAAGGAATTAAGATGTGCTACGTACACATGCCAGCTCCCCACAATGAATGTAAGCACTGTGTACTGCAGACGTGTGCTAATAAAATGTTTTAAAGTGAGACTAATGAAGTTGATGAAAAATGAAAAGCAGAATTATGTAATTTCCATAACTGATGAATAAAAAATGTAATCCTAGTTGCTCCTTGAGGCTACCTGAACTCTAAACCCAATCTGTACATGAAAACTAGCTTAACACGCTCACACCTCACATGCAAGTCATCATGCAACAAGTTTTACTCTGCCTTAAGCTACAAAAACTTACCTGGAACCTCTCCATAATTGTAACATCTGTCAGACATACTTTAGCACCTTCTTCTTCAGGCATTATTGTACCCAAGAGTGTTTCCTGTTCTTCTATGTCATTTTTTAGACGCTGTATGTCTCTATTGACATTCTGCAGTTTGTTTCTTAATTCTGGTATTTCCTTCTCCTTCAAATCAATTATGTTTTGCCTTAATAGAAAACATGCAATTAAACACAATCAACCTGATATTTTTCTATACAAAGACTGGGGTTGTGCATTTTTGGCAAGAATACCACAGAAGTAGTGCTCCTTTTCTGAGCATTTTATCAGTGGCTACATGATGTCACAGTCTTATTACTGGTAATGTAAATCTTACTTTGTGAAGACAGTGCCAGGTCTACTTCTCACTGTAAAGTTACTATTTTTTTCCTTTGTTATTATAAAATATCTTGACAAGAGATATGTTAAGAATACGTAAATATGCTGCTTCTCAAATTTCTAGTTTTTGTATCCACTGGTAGAGCTTGCTTGTAATAATTACTAAACTAAGAGTTATTCTACAAATTAACTGATCATATTCATCAAAAATGTCAAGGTCATAGAAGGAAAAAAAATGGAAACATGGCTTTTGTAAATAAGGAGGGGAGGGGCTGGGGATTTAGCTCAGCGGCACAGTGCCTGCCTGGCAAGCGCGAGGTCATGAGTTCGATTCCCGGTACTGAAAAAAAAAAAAGTAAATAAGGAGAGGAAGAAGGAAAATGGGGAAAATAGGAGAATCAAGATATACTATGTACAGGTACAAATTCCTTATGATTAATGTGGTCATTAAGTATTATTGAAAATGTACCAGTAAGATTAAATTTTAAAAAATGTTGAGGTCACAAAAGACAAAAACAGACCAATGAACTGTTGCACATTTCAAGAGAAACAACAACTAGGTGCAGAATTAAAATCTAGGTTGGATTCAAAATGGTCAGTAAAGGAAAAAATGCAGTTCAAGTATAGTTTGTAATTTAGTAGCATTATACCAATGTTAATTTCCTGGTTTTGATAACTGTATTATGGTTACATAAATTATTAGTATCCAGAAAAGCTGGGTGATGGGTATATGTAAATTCTCTATATTATTTTCAGAATTTTTCTGCAAGAAGGAAAATTATTTCAAAATTATAAATTTTAAAAATTATAGAAAGAAAAAAAATGACAAAGAAAGGAAGGAAACTAGCCACTCAGTCAAATGGTACATGGATTTAAGGTACAAAAGTTACTGGGCCAAGAATATAGCTCAATGGCACAGTGCCTGTCTGGCAAGCACAAGGTCCCAAGTTCGATTCCTTGTACCAAAAAAAAAGAAAAGAAAAAAGTTATTCTTGATTTCCGGTAATAAAAAAAGAAAAAGCTATTCACCCTTTTGTCAGTACTCTAATGAATTACTCTAAGGCTGATACTGGCTCCATATTTATTTTTATTTTTATTAATAAATATTACTTCAATATTGAAGTAATAAATATCTTTATTAAAGTAGTAAAACTTGTATGAGTTTTTAAAACCTCAAGTTTACTTCCAAAAAATTGCAAATTCTTATGCAAAATTAGCAAAGTTAAAGTGGTACAATAAAGTAAATTAACTGCTAATGGAAATCTTAACAATAAGCAAATGGAAAAACCAGAAACTCAAGAGTTGGCTTTTACAATCTATAATCACTTAATGACTTAAAAAAGTGTATTTATGACTGAGAGATGCCAACCTAAACTGATCTGTGACAACATATAATTTTTTATACTACAGAAATATGACATTTTCCAATTTCGTATGTAAGTATGAATAAATGCAAACTACTATATAAGTAACTGATTTCAATATATTACTTCCAGAATATTGTGATCAAAATGACATAAGTATGACACCCTAATGACAGTCAAGCATTCATTTAACTGGGGACATCTTTGTGAACTACAAGTATACACACAATTTTAATCCATTTACACACATACAAACACACAACCCTACCTTTCACCAATGTGGCAAGGTGGTACAGGTTTTGGTGCCTTCTTGTCTGATGCTAGATCCAAAATGCTAAAATAATTGTTCCAATAAAAAGGAAAGAAACTTTCCTACAGAATGAGCTACTGAGAACTATTAGGGTCCTCTGGGTTTACTTTGGCTTTTCCTTTTCACTTTTTATGAGATCTTTTTTTATCAGCCTTTCACATGATTTTCAATGAAACAAATCATAACTATGCATTTATGAGATGTGATGTTTTCATATATGCATAGTGTGGAATGCTTAGATCAAGTAAAGTAATATATCCATTTCCTTGCTTACCTATGTTTTCTATGGTAAGAGATTTGAAATTTATTCTTTAGGTTTTTTTTTTTTTTTAAATCTTCAGAAACTCAATTCTTCTATTTTTGGATAGCATTCCTTTTCCAAGGGAATTATATGTAAAAGATATGGTACTAAAACTAAATTTTGAGAGAAATAGGGAGAGAAGTGAATTTTTTTAAAATGTAGATAATAAATAAACCCATGTCAGTACTAGACAAACTGATAATCAGCTATATTTCCAGCTGAGATTTCATTCAGAATGATAGGCTCATATTAAGGTTGGTTTGAGGTTTTAAATGAAGTATATTTTCCCCAGAGGATCTGGCCTGTTATGGCTTGTATCTAGTTGTCCCCACAAAGCCACATGTTGGTCATAGGTGAGGTTTTGTGTAGGTTGCTGGATCTAGTATGTGTGATGCTGGGCTTAAGGTATGGGTGGCACTTTGGGTATGGGCAGCACCAATCAAATGGTGTGTAGCCTGGATGAGATTAAAAGGGAGAGGCAGACTTGATGCTGTTGCTTCTGCTGCTGCCTTCCACCTGCCCTGCTTTGCCTCCTCTGTGATGGCCCTCTGCCAGGCCACCCTGCCTTGGCACCAACTGACTATGGACTGAAACCTTTACAACCAGGATCTGAAATAAACCTTTCCTCCTGTAACTCGGGTGTCGGGTGTTTTGTCTTAGCAACAAGAAAAGTAAAGCAGGGTCCTCGACTACCTCCCTAGGTTTATCTTCTACCACTTTTCTCTTAGGCTTTTGGGTCAGACACAGCTCAGCGACTCTTGGAACACTGCTTGGAGTGCTTCTAGGCAAGTGCATGGCTGGCTCCTCAGTCCTCTCAGGTCCCCACACAAATGCCACCTTCATCAGCGACTCCCTACACCATTATCCTCCAGCTGCTTCCTATCCAATTACCGACTGAGTATTCCTCCACGGCACTAATCATCTCAGTGGGGGAAAAACTAAGGCCCAGATGGATCAAGTAACATCCTTAAGGTCACACAGCAGAGCCATAATTAGAAAATTAGAAATCAGTCTGACCACTGTACACTTCTAAGCTGCTGCTTTTCCACACTGGGAAAAAAAAAAGTCCTCCTGGTTTATTACTGACTTTTCACTTGTAGATTTAAACTTTTAAAAATATAATACGTAAATATATAAATGACAGAGGACTTCTCATTTTTCCTAAATCAGGATGACATCCTGCTAGAGCCTGGTAAGGAAACAGCTCATCATGAGCCTGCTCTCCTTGTTCTGATTTGTGATTCTTTCAGTAGAAACCATTCCACCGAACACACGTCCTCGCTTAGCAATCAGTGCTTCCTTGGGAGCTTTCCTAGCCTTTGCTTTACTTCATGACCACAGTGGCACACAATGCTGCTATGGACCTACAGCTGCTGATTAAGGCCAGCCACAAGTACTCCACCCTCCCATCACGAGGTCAGAGGTGTTCTCTGCCTGAGTCTCAGCAGGCTCTGTGACTGCTCTCACGAACGGCAATGACAGACGTCCCCACTGTGCAGTCGCTGGGCCCAGGCCCCAAGAGCCTTGAGCACCTTCCACTTCCTATCTCTCAGAATCCAACCCCTTTGCTGCCAAAGAGCAAGACATACATGGACGTCATGAGAAGGCATCCTGCTTGACAGCCTCAGCAGCTCTGAGCGAGCCATGCCTGTTCAACAGCCAGCCCTGGTGACCTTCCAGATGACTGCAGGCAATCTCCGACTGGGACCTCAAAGTCCCAGATGAAAACCACCCAGGTACCCACAGAATCATGGAAAACAATAAATTGTTGCTGTGAGACACGAAGTTTTGAGGAGGATTGTTAAACACAATAAATAAAACAGATGCTATGGTTCTCCTTCAATCAGCAAAGAGTTACCAAAGTTAGAAGAACAAGGAACTGAAGAGACACGACAGTGTTTTGCTCCGAGAAGGGGAGCTGTGATGGCAAGGGTCCTAACACATAAAACGGTGTACCAAGTCAATGCAGAACTCATAACTAACAGCTACACTTCTCTTCTATGTGTTCCTTCTACCGATTTTTTTTATCTATTTTTGATCTTTTTCATTTCAAGATATTACTTTATTATTCTATTTCCTTTTCATTCTCAAACTGCTGCCCTATCTTATCACGTTCTCGTTGCCCCAAGTATTTGGTTTTCATTCTTGATGCTTTGTTAGTTATCTACTGTTGCATAACAAAATACCCCAAAGCTAGCAGCTTAACACAAGAGCATTTATTTCTCAGATATGAAGACCGGGAGATCTGCTTCTGATGTAGCATCTCTGACAGAAGTTGCACATCAGCCATCAGCTGGGACTACGATAATCTCAAGGCTGACTTCTACAAACTGCTTGTAAAGTCACTTATGCAAAGGCCTCGACAGCACCTAGATTCTCCCAGACTGCATGGAGGGGAGCCACAGTACCTTAGACCACCTAAGGAAGAAATTGCTATCACTTTTGTCCTACTTTATTGGTTACTATGGACCTCAGGTCCATAGTAGCACTTGTGTGCCATTCTCATCACTACATGTAAGTAAAGTAAGGCAACCATTCAAGATGAGACTATACATGAGCATATGAAATCTAGGACACAGGGACCACAAGGACCATGCTAGGAGCAGGCTGCTGTAAGGTACATCGTAGAACTTTCCTTCTCCTTTTCCTAAAATTTTTCTTTGGTTTTCCTAGACAATGTATTCTCTTAGTTTTTCACTTTTGGAGATTCTCTCACTCAAATCTACCCAAAGTTATTAGTATCATATTAATATTCCTAAAACTTATCATTCATCAAATACCTTAGAATGGCTCCTTACCACCTGTAAGAGTTATCACTGGGCCTGAACATTATATAACTCTATCTTCTCAATTTGAGGGAATCAATCGATCCCTACAAGTAATCCCCGGAACTCCAGATAACATTGCAGCTGCAGCAGAGGCCACACTCCCTGTCCCAGTGCATAATCTGTTCTGTTTCCCTTCTCTCTGTCCCTCTTTTACCTGAGTTGAACCAACTTCTCTAGGCTTTATATTCCCTTTCCTTCGTCATTCTCAAAACTTTTTCCTTTTCCATTCTGGACTCACTGGCTTCTGTCTTCTTAAATAATGCATTTATTTGAACCATTTTTGAACACTTTATTAAAACCATCTAATTCTGAGAGATTTTTCCTTTAATTAGCCCATCCTTGTGGTGTAACTAGCTCCTGTGGGTCATGTCTTAATGATGTCTATGGGTAACCTGGCCCTCCATGCTCCAAGAGACACCAGGGAAATCATTACATACAAATATAGTTTAAAATTTACGTTTTTTTTTGGTTTTTCTCTGGTACCAGGAACCAAACTCACGACCTTGCGCTTGCCAGGCAGGCGCTTTTGCCACTGAGCTAAATCCCCAGCCCCTAAAATTTACGTTTTAGAAGAGCTTTTAAGTACTCTAATTCTTTTGCTGGATTAAGAAAGTGACATAGCAACAAACAGTTCTGAAACTGTCAAAATTTATTCCCTTAAGCCAAGTCTAACACATACACACACAGATATACACACACACTATATATATCCTGACTAGTTTCAGAAATAAACTTAGCTAGCTTGCTTGATTTGGTTTTTTGAGACAGGGCCTCACTTTGTAGGGCAGGCTGGCCTTGACCCAGAGGCGATCCTTTTGCCTCAGACTCCCAAGTGCTGGGATAACAGGTGTGCACCACCATGCCTGGCTATAAGCTTGACTTTAAACTAAACTATTGATTCTATTGTCATGTATGTAACATGAAATAGATATACTAATTTAGAGTATAAAAACTCTGACTTTAATTTTTATTCTTCCAACATACCCTTACCAAGTATCTATCACACACCAGGCACTCTATGAGTATCTTTAGCAACATGGCCATTGCATGTACAGTAATGATAAACCCCCATTCTCACCTCATGGGCACAAGCCCCAGCATTTCATCTCGACGCTTTTCTTTTTTCTTTAGCTCTAACTCTGTTGACTTGAGTTTATCGGGAGCAAGCCGCAGCTTAGACTGCAAGTCACTGATGACTTCTTGTAACTCAGCCTCTGTCTGAAAAACTCTCTGACAGACAGGGCAACATGACTGGTTTTCATCTGTTAGCTGAGTAATGAACTGAGAGTAAACTGCTGTGGCTCCAGCCAGCATCGCTATTTTAGGAAAATCAATAAATCTCTAGTGAGAAAAATGTACATCTTTTCTAACTATATAATTGTTCTTCTTGCTTTATAAACCTATTACAAATGAAATAAAAGGTATCTCACATTTAGATCTTCTTCCAAAGGACATAACATATTCAGATTTGTATAAATTATTTTCTCTTAACATGCAAAAAGTGTAAGATGTACTGAAAGATTTCTATGTGCCAGGAATTATTTTTAGGACTTTACTTATAATCCTATTTAAGCCTCTTTAATACCTTAGATCAGTGACGGTGAACCTTTTAGAGCTTTCAATGATAACAAACAGCCCACTGAGGTATGCATGCCATAGGTTTGCCACCACTGCCCTAGGTGGAAGGTAGTTCTTCACTTTGCGGAGGATGAATGTGAAACACCGGAAGGTATCAATATGTTGTCCAAAGTCACAGAGCAAATATGTTATAGAGCCATTATTAAATGTCAAGGCATTCGACTCCATAACAAGGTATTTAAATCTCCCACCCTGAATGGTTACCTGTAAATGAAAATTCAAGTGTCAACGTGCCTTGGTAATACAGAGTTGGTAACATACCTCGCTGTTTTGAAGATTTTTCAATATCCTCTTTAAGCCTGTCTAAATCGATTTCAAAATCCTGGCTACCACAAACATCAAATAGCTTGTCTTCGTAAGTGGATAACTGCTCTTCCTTTCTTTTTAGCTCATTACTTATATGATTTTTATTTTGCTCAGCTGACGCTAGTTCCTTGCTAAAAGAAAAACAAATGTTGATTACAATCAAGACAAATTTTCTTCCAACAAAGCACATGGTTTGGTATGAACAAATAATTTTCTAAAATTGATCAATTCACACTGGACGAACCAAGGGCCTTGAACACCTCAAAGCAAGTGCTCTACCACTGAACTACACTCCTAGTCTGAATATTTTTCTCAGAAATCATGACAAAAGTCTACTCCTGCCTAAACGTTCTCTATACAACACAAATTCACCTGCCAATCCTACTAAGGGGCCAATTCTCAGAAAATTGTCCACAGGCAAAGTTCTGCCTGATTTCACGAGATTGGTGACCTTAGATTCCAAGTTAAGAGAAGAGCTAGGCAGAACTATTTTGAGAAATTTGCTTCAGAAAAAGATGTGAATGCACAGGCACTCATCATGCTATCCATTGTGAGTCATGCTAAACATCTAGAACAACTTTTCATCAGTCGTCAGTAACTGAAGTGCCAAGTGCAGGCTCCATCTCACTGGACTGCTGTGCAGCACCAAACACGTCGACCCCCTCCTTAAAGGATCATCTTCCCAGATACTACTCCTGCTTGGCTCTCATCCTGGTCCCTTAGGCACATCCCTGTTTCCTTCACTTGCTCTCTCCTGCACGCCAACATTTTTAAAAAGCTGGTGCTTCCCACTAGTTTACTGTAACCCCTTCTCTTTGCTTTGCAAAACTCTCTCAAGATGACATGCTTATCGTAATGTCAACTATTACATAACAACTTCCAATCTCCTGAACTTCAAACTTCAATATTCTACTCCTTAAAAGACCCTTGTGCAACAAATACATGCTTAACATGATAAAAACCTAACCTACCAGCACCTTAAAAATTCTGTGTAAAATTTCTGACCCGCTTATCCAACCACCATCTAAGACTACATCTGATAAAAACGATCTTTTTATAATGGGTTAATAACAGAAATGCAAAGAAAATTTCAGAATTTTAACCCTCTTACTAACATCTACAGATTTCCAAAGGAGAGAAGACCCCAATCAATACCAATTACCATTTTACTTAACTTGCAAAACGTAGGCCAATTAACAACATACCATTTCATGACAATACATTATTTAAAACAATGAAAAATAAAAGTATGAAGTAAGGGATTTCTATTACCATGGTAACATTGCAACTACTTACTTCAACTTGGCAAGTCTATCTCTGGTCTGATTAATTTCTTTAGATTTACTATGAAGCCAATCTTCAAGCTGTTTTTTGTTGGGAAAATACCCCAACAGTGAAGTTAATTCATCATTATGCCTAGATTTTATTTTTCTGATTTGTTCATCTTTGTCAGCCTTTAAGGGAAAAACAAAAACCTTAGAAAAACCTTATATCTCCATATTATATCAAGAACAAAAATAAATTCCAGATTGACTAAAGTTCTTGACAAAAAAAAATAAAACTATAAAAGTGCAAGTGGGGACCTGGGGATATAGCCCAGGGGCACAGCACCTGCCTGGCAAGTACAAGGTCCTAAGTTTGATTCCCAGAACCAAAAATAAAAAAAAAAAAAAAAAGCAAATGGGTAATTCTAAGGCTTAAAAGATTAACAAGTCTGATGACAGAAAAACTAAAAAGTTCCATACGTTAAAAATAAGCAGCAATGAGCATGTATGTTTATGGATGTATACTTCTGTACTATCAACATTTTATAGTTAAAATATAATTTTGCCAGTCACAATGATACAAGCCTATAATCCTAGCTACTCAGGACTAAGGCAGGAGAATCATTTGAGCCCAGGAGTTTGAAGCCAGCCTGGGCAACATAGCACAATCTTTGTTTCTAAAACAACAACAGCTGGGTGTGGCAGCGCATGCCTATAATCCTAGCAGTCTGGAGGCTGAGGCAGGAGGATCATAGTGAGTTCAAGGCCAGCCTGAGCTGAATAGTGAAATCCTGTCTCGAAAAGAAAAGGCAAAACAACAACAATAAATAACTTTGAAACTTGAAAGTAATTTACAGCCACGTGTGGTGGCACACACCTGTAATCCCAGCACTCGGGAAGCTGAGGCAGGAGGATCGTCTCGAGTTCTAGACTAGCCTGGGCTACAAAGTGAGCTCAAGGTCAGCCTGAACTGCATAGTGAGACCCTGTCTCAAAGAAACCAAAAAATTAAAAAATTTAAAAAAATAAAAGTATTTTACAGCGTTTAGCTCATCTTTAATATATAAAAGCAATACCAAATAAATACTTCATATTCTATCAATTATTAATGCAACATAATTGGTTTTAAATACCCGACGGTATAATTCAAACAGAAAAAAAAGAAAACCCATACTTTGTCTTTAGTTAGCATCTCCATCTGGGTACGGGCTGTTGTATGATGATTTAACTGCTCCATCTCCTGGTCCAATTTACGCAAGGTCCTGTCTAGGTCTGCTTTCTCACTTTGAAGGCTTATCACTTCTGTTTTTAGGGTTTCTATATTGCTGCTTTTCTCAGCCTTGCTTAACTCACGTTCCTAATCAAAAATTCAAACAAATGAACAGGTTTATATATTTTGCATCAGAATTAAAATAATGAAAAGTGTACCAGAAATTACTCAGAGTGGTCAAAATATTACTGTTTGCTTATATCCAACAAGAGAAGAGACATGGGCTATGTGTGCCTCAAGGAAAATCTTACTAAAATTACCTTACTAGGTTATAATGGTAGCAAATTTGTAAATAAACGTAGGTGGGTCTAGTCAATGTTTACTTAAATTATAAAGATGGGTTTTAAGAGAGAACCTGCCAAGCATTAAAAAGCTTACCCTGGTGAAGAAAAGAGACAGGTCAGAAACAAGGAAAAGAACTTAGAAATTCTTGAAAAGAAGAAACTGGCTGTGAATGTTCACCTCAGAAAACACTGGTATCAAGACAAACACCATGTAAAATTAATACTGTGTAGACCCTAGAAAGAAAATACTTGTTTTCTTACTCACGTATATGGTTTTTAACCAAGATGCTTGTAACGATTTCTTAGTTCTGTTCTGTGTGAAACACATATTCCCATACCTTACCTTCAAGAGACTGAGATTTGGAAGGTGTGAAGCTTTAAAGTCTAAGCACAGGTATCTTTAAAAAGCTCTCTAGGTGACCTCTAATTTTCAACCTACTGGGTTTTAGAACCAAAAAGTTGGATGACTAAGATATTCAGATAAGTTCATTTTATATCAGATCACAGAAAAAGCAGACATTTTTCTTTGTAATAATCTACAAGAAACAGGGAGACAGAGCCTTTGCCAATGAAGAGGACCCACAGATGGACAGAGGTGGAGGGAGAAAGGGGAAGAGGATGTAAAAAGGAATTATGACGTGTTATGTACATGTACCAACTTCCCACAATGAATGTAATCATTATGTACCGCGAACATGTAATAATGAAAATTAAAATTTAAAAAATACCATAATCTGAGTAGCAACAGATAAAATAATTCAGAAGACAAGATTTTAAATATCTTACATAATAGGATTATTAGATTACTTAAACATCTTACAGCTTTTGTGAGCTCCTGGTCCAGTTCAAGAATCCTGTCTGAAGATCCTTCCAACTGCTGTAATTCATACTTCACGTTTTTCAGCTCATTTTGCTTCTTACTTAGGATTTCTGATTTTAGCTCAATTATCCTCCCCAGTCCTGCTTTCTTATCCCGTATCTCATCTATCTGTTTTTGTTTCAGAGTTTCTTTTTCTGCAAAGTCATTCTAAACACATACATGAAAGAGTGTGTATTAATAATTTTTCACTGAAAAGGTTTCTTCATTGCAAAAGTAACGCTGTAAACTGGGCATGGTGGAGCATGCCTGTAATCCCAGCACTCTGGGAGGCTGAGACAGCAGGATCCCAAATATGAGCCCAGCCTGGACAACTTAGTGAGACGTGGTCTCAAATAAAAACTTAAAAAGGGCCAGGGATGTAGTTCACTGCAAAGGCCCCAAGTTCAATCCCCAGTACCCTCCCGCAAAAATGGAGTATACACTGAAACAGTATTTATTACAGTTAAATAACTATAAACTGTATACACTGAAGAAAATACAGAAAAATATTTTTATAAATATAAGAAGTGTTATCCAAAGATAATTTTAATAACTATGAGCAAAGTTTTTGTTGTAATCAACCTTAAAAAACTTTTGACTTAAAATTTTAAAAAGTAAGTTTAGTCAGGCATAGTGGCACATGCTTGTAATCTCAGAAACTCTGAGGTTGAGTTGGGGGGATTGTAAATTGAAAGTCTCAAAACTTAGTGAGATCCTGTCTCAAAGTAAAATCAACTAAATCAGGTTAAAAAGTGCTGGGTAACATAGTGCAGTGATAGCGAATTTGCCTAGCAGGTATGAGTCACCGGGTTCCATCCCCAGGACCCCCCCACCCCAAAAAGAGGTCTACATTTTATTCATATTTGTATCCTTATAAACTTTTAAAAATTTGCTTCTGTAAGTTTTTTCTGAGTTAGTGCAGATTAGACTTCATTCAAAAACTAAAACAAAATCTGACACAAAAGAAAAGAACAAACATTTTATTGTAAATATTTACCATCTGCTGGTTGGCAGTTTCTGCTTCTTCTTCTTGTCTCTCTCTCACTAGCTTGTGAAAATTTTTAATCTGTCTGTCACTGAAAGGTCCACGTTCAAAGCCATCGAATTCCAGGTGTGCTGCTAATGACTGAATTAATGAATCTCTAGCTCGGATATGTTCTTGATGGCGATCTGCTTGTAGCTGTAGACGGCCTTTAAAGAAAACAACCTCGTAACATTTTTTCCGTTAATTTCTTAAATAACTATAAATTCAAGAAGTTGAAAAACTAATAGTAATCTCTTATATACTTTGCCCAGTTTCCCCCAATGAGAACGTGTGATAAAACAGCATTATATCACAGCCAGGCTATCGACATTGATATAACCCATCCATCTCATTCAAATTTTCCAAAGATACCTGTACCAATTTATATGGATACATGTATTAGATTTCAAGTAACTGTTCTCCACTGCCAGGTTCCATATAATTTTATCACCCGTGGAGCCATATGTCCACTATAAGTCAAGATACTGAATCGTTCTACAGCGTAAGTATCTTCTTGTGCTCTCTTTTAACCATAACTATGTCCATCTTCCTCTTGCCCCTCCTCTTAGCTGGTACCCTGGCAACCACAAATCTGTCCACTATTTCCTAAATTCTGACATTTTAAAGATATTATATAAATGGAAACATACTGCATATAAGCTTTTGATTGGCTTTTTCACTTAACATAAGTCCATGAAGATTCTTCATTCAGGAAATGTATATTATAGTGAGGAAAAAAAACTCAAGTAAGGGGCTGGGGATTTAGCTCAGCGGCAAAGCGCCTGCCTGGCAAG